CTGGAATCGTTTCGCGAAACGCCGCGGACACCGCGGACGATAAATAATCGACTCGGCGAAGGCAGGGTATCGTCGGCTAGTTAACGCGGCCGGTGACTCACGTTTCACCAATATTTAACATTCCGCGGTGATACGAAAGCAGTTATAGCGCACCGGTCACTTCCTACGCGTCTCTGACCGTCTCCGGCCTTAACGTTGCGTTCAAACCATTGTTCCAAATAACCGGCTAATCGTGGATACGAATTTCCGGCTAAAATCCGCGTTCTCTCGAGAAAGCGAGAGAGAGAGAGAGAGAGAGAGGATCAATTATCGCTCGAAATTTCTATCGTAAATGGTTAGATTACGCAAGCGTTGCGAATACGAAGAAAGTTGGCACATCGAATCTTCGAGGTAAAGACTCGCAGCACGTTCCAATCGAATTTTCAATTTTCCAACTCGAAAGCGACTCGACAATTTTTTTCCATTTCGTCGAAAACCGCGAAACGGGAACGCACAAAGATAGAGAAAGGAAGGACTAAAAAAGGAAACGCGTAAATCACGGTATCGCGTTACAATCATCTCATACACTCGACATCTGTAACCCCGCTCACCAACGAAGAGCGTTAAACTGCTCGATTCGAAGCTTTACAACCTGCCTCAACGTGTTCTTCCATCCTCGATAAAAATATCGATTGTTCGTCGCCGATGAAAATCCACTTTTTCGCTCTTTCGTGTCGAAATCCAAAATGTCCCTTCGATCCATCTTTGGAGAAAAGATGGAGTTCGAAATGGAGTTTAGTTAACAAGCGAAGTAAAACCGTAATTGTGATTTCTTCTTTACTCGACTCGTCGAGAATTATGCGAATCGGTCTCGGACAGGAAAATATCTTTTCAGACGGAGAGAAGTTCGCGTTGCTCGTAAGTACCTCGTAACGTATTGTACGAGCGACGAGATCTCCGCGATTCGACGTACAAATTCATGTAAATCAGCAGTGGACGGTGACGCAATGCACAAAACATTATCTTCCAAGATGCGATTAAATATGCAGCGTCGTTGGGTCGTCCATTTAATTACACTCATCCTTGGACGTGTTTAAGTATTTCATAAATCAATCGTTTGATCACGGAATCTTCTCGAGACGCGCCGGAAACGAAACGTGCATCTTGCACGATCGATGGATTATTTTCAACCAGTAAATCGACCTAATTATCCAAACTGTTGCATTATCGTTTCCTCGTCGATCGAATCAATCGTCGTTGCGATCTTTGATTTTTTATCTTTGCACGCGAAGAAATATTTCGCATTGGTGACAATAGTCGAGGAATACGAGGTATTGGCAAAGTCGATCAATGGCGAGAACGTAAGCACACGTGGGGGTTTGACGGGCGTGTTGGGGCCGCGCATCGTACCAATCGTGTGGGACAATGCTTCTCTCCACCATGACCCACTGACACGCAAATAAAGCGATATATTCATAGACGTCGCGATTTTTATCATCTATCATTATCGTCCCGCGGCCAACTTCGCGTGAGCAGGATTGCGCAACGATCTCGTCGCCCATCGCGACCAATATCTTTCAGAATCTCGGACGGGCAACGTCGTATTGTTTATCGAGTTTCGAAACGTGTTTGAGAATTCGACGTATTCCATGCTGGAATATAAAATGTACCGCTATACTTTCACTCATTTCCAATAACATTTTTCTTTTTCCTTTTCTTTTCTTCTTTTTCTCTCGTCTCGCCCATTTTGAAATTTCTGGAACAATTGATGAAACATCACGATCACGAATAGGGTTTCTCGCGCGACAAGATTTCGTCATTGATGGAAATACACCGACGAGGAGAATTTCGTGACACGCCCACGGGGCAAATTTCGTGCGTCATTTTAAAGAATCGTTTCACCAACGATGGATGATCGATGGACGAGAAGATCTCTGGAAGGAAAACAACATCGAACGTTACCCGGCTCGTCACGGCCTTGCGAATATATACAGTTGGATGAAATACTTTCGATGCACCGGATATCCGAGGTGCTTTTTACGCACTGGCTTTCTTTCTCCGTCCCAATGCCAATAAACTAATAATTTCCTTTGTGAAATACGAATCGTGCGTATAATAGGATTTCCTTCATTTCGCGATACGATCAACTTTTGACAAATGCGCATGCGCGTATTCTCACGCGATGCGTTCATAACAGTAAGTGTTTATTTACTAGCATATATGTCGAGCAACGCGTGGATACGAACGGATAGGACGGCCGTCGATAATTCACGGGTTTTCACTTTGGCCTCGTTTGCACTACGTTCCATCGCGCTATCTACAGCTGCGGGATTTGAATTTAAAGTCATTGTCGCTTCGCGATTGGTATTGACGAAACCTTCGGTATTCATCGTCCTTCGATCATTTCAACGTGCCTGCCGCAATTATATCTTCTCTACCGACCACGTTCCCTACCGACAACGTTTAATGACTCTATAAAACTTGCGAATAACAATGAATCCTTCGAAATCGTGCACTCGCAATGTGTGCCACTCGGGGTATATACGACCAAGCGTTTCAACACGAAAATATAATTGCGAATTCAATGTACTCGAAACTCGTAAAATCGGTCTAACCCTGACACACATTTCTGACCGTTGGATTCAACACTTGCCGAATACGCGTCCATTATCGTTATCCTTATCGTCCATCACCAACCGTTTTCCGCGATCTAATTTCCGAAAGGCGATCCAATCGTAACTGCTCGCCATCGCGAAAAGGAAACCTTTTGTTTACTTATTACTTTAAATATCGCGAATGAATTCGTTTCTTAAATCTGTCGAAAAATAAAGCACTCGATATTCCATAATCGATCGCTACGCTTGTTTGAAAGTTGTACGAGTAAATAACACGAATGTTTTTTTTTTTCTTTTTCACAGATGGAGGGGATCCGTTTACAAGCTAATCTGGCGAGAATTGTTGGCCTACCTGTTCGTCTACTACGTCATCAATTTCACGTATCGATATGCGTTGAACGAGCAGCAGCGGGTGTGAGTACATGAATAGTTCATTTGAATATCTTCTCGCCGTAAAGTTTCCCTCCGTGAAGGTTGACGGCTTAACGCAAGGGAACGTAAATTTGTCGAATAAAATTCGGTAACAAGTTAGAATGTATAAATCTTGGAAGCATCGACAACGAATTGTCTGTTTATTAAAAGAGTCGTTGGAGAAATACGAAATAGAATAGTTTGTTCACAGATGTATAACGTATAACAATGATAAGATATAAGAAATACGACCGAATTTCGTTTGAAAGCTTGAAAAGGGAGGATTGGATTAAGACTTTCATTTTTCAGAATTTTTTTCTTTTTCCTCCTCCTATTAAAGGAAAGTCGTTGCTTCATTTTAGAGAATTTTAGATTACGTAAACACCGTGTTTTCGAGTTTCAAGAAAAATATCTTTCTATTCACGGTTTTATCTCGCGAGAAACGATGGTTACACGGGTGAGTATCGGCTGCCATAACTGGGAACTTTGCGACATCGACCTTGGTCGAGCAACAAAGCTTTCTATACCATGACCGGGATTATGTTTCATCGGTTATAATATCGGCAAATTTACGACGGCCCCTCAATCCCACTCCCCCCTTCCCACCTCCTTCTTTATCAGCGTTATATCGTCTCTTTTGTCCCGCGCACGAATACGTTAAAACCTCTCTCCTTCTCCCTTTCTTTTCCTTTTATCATCGCGTTTCGCGATTCGTCGTTACCCTTTTACAACTTTAAGCTTTACGACAACCACCGATAAGCTCTACGAATGTTGCTCGCGCCAATACGAACGGCCATTAATCGCCGACGATAAAAGCGAATTTGTTTAATTACGACTTCGATCGATCAATTTTGACCGAGGGAATTTTGACGAAGGGAGGGTTTGATCCGACCGATTTTTACCCATGTCAGCATTTTTCGACGTCGTCGAACGATGGAGAAAAAGAAAAAAGAAAATGCGAACTCGTAAGGAGCGACATTTTACGCGTCTGTTTTAGATATATTCGACGCGGTTAAATCGTGGATATCGTATATAAAATTGTTTCTCCCGTACAAGGCGCGAATTTTGTATAATGCCCCGCGGAATGTGGCGGGACTCGTCCACAGGGTAGGCATTAAAAGACGCATAAAAATGTAACCTGTTATTTACGCTGAGATAAGAAAAGGAAAAAGGAAAGAAGATCCCGTGGTTGGCCGATGTTAAAATGGACCCTCCTTTGGGCCGCTTCGATTCGCATGGTCTAAATTTAGAACCGTAGGGCCGGTTCAGGTTAGGGGACTGCACGGGCCGACCGACCATCATAGGAAGAGCCCGATCGGATGGGAATAAAAACTTGCTCGATCCGTATACTTGGAACCGTAAACCGTATCTCCAACCGTAAATTTTAATTTCTTTTCATAGAATTTCTAATATCGACTCATCCCGATATTATTCTCGCTCTCGATATTATAATTACTTTTCACTCCTTTGTAATTTGTAAAAGGATACGTAAAAGTTTTCTTTCTCGTATCTTTTTATCTACTTTTTAAATATATTTTATATCATCTTATATTATCTCATCGTCGAGAAACAGACTTTTATAGAATAAAAAATTATTTTAAAAGAAACTTTCGTTTCTTTTCTTTTCGTTCAACGCGTAACTCAACCCAATAAATGAATTACACGATATTCGCCTTCCTCGTCTATCAGTACTATCTTTGAGGACAAACAAAATCAAAGCGGTAAATCGAGTAAACAAAGGTGCGTTAACCTTAAGATCCTCTAATTGCGAACGCGCGTATCGTGAATATACGCGCATCTATGTGCGTAATCCGTTAAATTCTTCGAGTTTCTTTTAGCTTATTTAGCGTACTATAATACGACTCTAATCATATTTCGCGATAGACGCGCACGTCGTTGGACGCGAAGCTAAATATAACACCTGCGCGCGGAGGCAAAGCGCGTAAAAGTGGAACGTGCAAAAGAGCGGGTCCGAGGATCCTCCGC